ACCTTCTCTGAGCTGGCGAACGGCACGGGAGAAAGAAGAAAACGGCCGCTCTGGAAGCTGAGGAGGAGGCGGCGGAGCTTCACGGCAGTCAGTCGTCAGCGGCGCTTTTGTCGCTAACAAATGGAGCTCGCTGGCTGGGGAAAGGAAGGAGTGAAGAACAGGAAACGATGAGAGTGAGCGGAACCCACCGACTTATTCATTCCCATTCATATTCCTTTCCTTTCCATTTTGTTTTGTTTTTGTCTTATGTTTATTTTCTAGCACTAATGTTGACTTGCACAAAATGGACATGTAACCAGACAAACATTTGTTGTCGGAGAAAGAAAGGCAAGGGCCCGGCCCACTTGATACTACAAGGAGAATTTTAAAAAGTAGGCTTGGGCCACAAACTTGCATTTGCCCGATAGGGATATCTCCATGTGTAATGTAACGGTTATGGTTATGTGCACAATAAATTGAATCACTACATGCACATTCTGAAAAAAAGGAAAGAGAAAAAAAAAGAACAAAATTAATGTAACATCCAATTTGCCTTCTATGCATGGCTTGGCTAGTTGGCTACATCCATATACGTAAATTCATGTAACATACTATACATAGTTTCTATTGCTCTAGTTATATAAATGCTAGTTTGCAAGAAACATTTTTTTTAATACAAGTTGTAGAGAGTACATTTTTTCCTCTTTGATCAGAGGGTGGAATGCTGGCAGATTGAACCTCGTATAGTCAGTATTGTTATTGAAACCGGCAGGAAGTATGAAACCTCGTATAGTCAGTATTGTTATTGAAACCTCCAATATGAAATACTGTTTTGAAGCACACCGTATGGATGATATGTGCAAATTTCAAGTCCATGAGTGGACTTTTGCTTCAGAAGGCATTTAAGAAAGTGGTTAAGACCCATATACGGATATCTTCCAAGTTCCAACACCTCAAATTGTTGGGGCCGGCTGGTTTATGACATGAGTTTGAAGTTTGCACATACCCTCCATTACTGTGTGTTGTAAGACAATGGTTAGTATTGGAAATCATCAAAACTTGAACACATCATCTCAAGGACAAACCGACCATAATATCATGTCATAAGCCAACCGATACCAATAACTCGAATTGTTATATAAAGATTAATTAGTGATCTTACGACACTCTCCGAAAAATTCGTAGTGGCATGATACCCATAAAGTCTAAGCTCTAGATTCGGATACCAATATCAACAAGGGGGAATTGCAAGTCTGATCGTTCATATTATCTATTTGTAACACTTTAGCCATCTGAATCACTTTCTCTTGGGGCTGAACGCTTTCAATTCCTCTTGTCCAAACTGCACGTTCGTGATCTACATGCTGCATCTTGCGGGGGAGTAATGGGTTTAGCCCAGTCGACGCATCGGCCCGTAACCCAGTAGCCCGATGTGTCACCCAACAAACCCAAGGCGGCTTATGCATGTGCTGCGTATGATTGTCCATGTAACACTATTTGTACCCTAGTTGAGTGTGTAGAAGGGTATAAAAGCAAGTGTATGGCCGTTGGCCACCATTAAGAACGTAATAACATATCAGCTGGAGAGAGTTGTTCTCTCCCGTGAACTAGTCCCGATCATCGAGGATACCAGTACCACGTTAAATCGTGTCTCGTCTATTCCGCATTAAGGAATTCAACATATTTCACAAATTTAGCCACCGATACTACACGCTTATGCCATATTTGATCACTCACCGTCTAGTTCCGTTAAATTTGTCCTACGCAGCAGTCAACTCCAATATTTGACCGTTAAAAAGCTTATGCGTCAATTAAAAAATAATAAAAAGAAGGTAGGGAAGTGGGGTAACCGGTAATGTTGACATGGACATGCAGTGTCGGAGCCAGTGCATACTAAGGTGGGTCCCGGGACCCACCTTGGTTCGGGAGAAAATATGTGGCCTAAATAATAAGGATTAAAAATCATACCAAAGTTATATCGGATAAGTCATTATGTTGAAAACGTGGTTTAATCGTGGTACAACCATTTCAGGTTTATTCATTATATATCGCCAAAAATTTCTTTTGTTGAAACTCGCTAGATTATTTTTATCCTAATAATAAATTCAATATATCAGGTTTTAAACCTCAACTAGATTATTATACGTATACTTTGACGTGAATATAGGCTAGCTAGCTATTGTCTAAAACTATATAGAATTATGAATTATTTTTCAAATCATGGTAATTGAAAGAAGTAACTTATTGTTGTTGCTAACTAAGGCTCCACTACAAGTATTGAAATGACATTTTCAATGAGCCACGTGAAAACACTCTTCGGTATCTAATGGGTGACAAAATCATGAATGACTATTGTATAGAATATATTGACATTGATATCATATGAATGCAAGTTCGTCAATATATGAGAACACATTATGGGGCACTGCAATAACCCTTTTTGTATGTTTCAAGAAACCTAGGATCGATCATGACACAAAGAATTTAATAAAGGGAGAAAGCACATTGGACCACCACTTGCATTATTGTTTTCGTGAGTGCATGATAGGAATATGTAACGTATATGGCATTCACGTGAGGTTAGGCACATTTATGTCATGCATGCACAATTTGCCACAAAAAAAACATGAAAACATGCCATGCAATGCATGGCTTTGTTATATGTGCGTTTATATTGTCACCAACTAATAATCAGTTATAATCATTCGAGTTGTTAGAATAAGTTCAATTTACTAACACATCTCTCAAAACGAAAGCTTTGAAGTTTATACAGCCCCAGATAGACACAATGTGATTAACATTACAGATAGGGTCATTGGGATTCGAACAAAACGCCATTGAGATGACAGAATGCTCTGATACCACGTCAAGAAACTAATTAACCTCAATAACTTGATTTGTTGTAAGAGGTTCAATTATAGGTCATATGCCACTTACGACCTATTATAATTAGGCTACATTTGATTCTAATTTAGGCTGGGATGTGAGACAAAAATATGAGCTTGTTGGAATAAATTCTACAAGCTAAATAAGTGGTGAAGTTAGGTTGAAACTTGAAACTAGGGGAAAACTTTAAAAAATAGGTAAAATTACAATATAAGATTTACAACAAATTTAAGAAATAAGCTAGTCGTTAAATTTTAGTTTTTTCACTAATTACTACGGTTCAAATCACCTCTTTTTTTGCTTTTTTTTTTTTTTTGCTTTGCCATTGAGTTGAATCAGGAGGTAACTTTTTTTTTTGGTTATGAAGACCAACTCACAAACAAGAATTAAAACACATGTGTGAGATCTTAAGTAAGAAATGGATGTTTTAGAAATCGTATTCGTCAATTCAATCGGAATAATAAGACATCGAACTCCAAAATTCAAATGGTATGTGATTTTAGACACTTGAATCACGGTTCTATCACGATTTTTGTACAAAATATCACATCATCACAAAATTATTCCGATATGATTACACACTCATTGGCAAGGTTTTTTTTAGATCAACTAATGACGGCCTACAAAACGAAACCGTCTCGAAAACAACGGTCATGAGCCTTGCCATAATGCAAGGGTTGATTGGAGCTTCGTTTTGGCCACGATTTTACAAGTCTAATGACCAATATGCTGAAGTTGATCAAGTGTTTAATGCCACAGGTTTGAGAAAGCTATCTATGTGATTCTCAAAAACTGGTTCATTTCAAATTACTTGATTTGGGCATGAATCTTATACCTTTACGTACGGAAGTTCTCCCTAACAAAAATATGAATCAAGCATGCAACATTTAGACCATCGAAATCTCTAATTGTATGCAAGAAATCAGTAATTAAATCGTCTGTCTCAGAAGTTTTCAGATCAGCTGCAGTATGTTGTCCTCTTCATGCCATGCATGTAAAAACTCTTAAGCCGAAACAAAGTGTGGGCCGGCTGTGTTTGGGCTTTAAATGGGCTAGGCTCGGTTGAGGCCCAACCTAATTCCCGGTAGAGAAGAAGAAGTTGCACCGCTCGCCAGCCTTTGACGATCTCAAAACAACGGTTGACGAAACGGATAAGAGCGTCAAGGGAAAGGCAAGGCGATTGCTGCGGTAGAGCCGTCGCCGGTGCTATTCGTCGCTTATTAGTCCGGCACCTTGGCGAAGTGGGCCTGAGCCAGAGGATGGGCCTGGACGAAGTGGGCCCGAGCCGGAGTTATAACACGTGTGAGAACTGAGAAAGGGGTGAAGAGAAAAATCCGCAATTACGAAAACAAATCGGAATCCCCAAATTCCGATCGCGTTTCTCCCTGTCTAGGGTTCTTCTTGCTACCATAAGAATGTTACACAAAGCCAATTATTACAAAAGCAATAGGGTTTGTAAATGGGTCGATTGGTTCATATTTTAGTCATTTTAATTGCCCCATATATGTATTACCGTTTTGAACTCACTAAATCCAAACACATCCAAATAATTTAGAATCTTACGTGTGTAAGATTGGGTTGGATCGAGTTACCTATACTTTTAAGTAAAAGTCAACCTAGCAACACTAAGACCAAAAAGAAGAAGAAAAAAAAAAGAAGAGTATGTTGCACCATAAAACGTAACACTGTAACTATTAAATTGGCGTTTAATTTTTTAGATGAATAATGGGTTAGATTAGCAAGACTACATGAGAAAAATATAAAAGCATAACTTAACTTCCTCACTAATATGCTACACATGACACAAATATGTTTTTGAATAAGAAAATACTTGTAGCATGAGTTAGGTCGGGCTCTTAGGTTGCATAATTAAAAACTCACACCCAACATAATAGAAACACGTTACATACAAAAAATCATTATCCAACGTTAAATCTTAGTTTAAGCGATAATAGTTTGGGTCTGGTGGTTCGTCCCTAAATGTTAGAATTGAATTTTGTTGACGGAATAAAAAATGGAGAACGTAAGGGAGTCCGTTGGAGAAGAAAAATTATTCAGGGAGTTAGATTCTATAAATATATTATTCAGGGGCTCAAAGAATAAATATACGATAACCGCCGCAACTCACATGCCGTATAAATTATAACACGTGTGAGCCTGGGCGACGAACACAAATCCCTAATTTTTGCGATTACGGAAGATTTTAAAATCGAGATCCCCAATTTCCTCCTTTCTCTACCCTAGGGTTTTTAGTTCCTACACTTTCCCAATTAATCGATCTCCAGCCATGGATGCCCAACAGCTCTCTCTTCTGTCTTCGGATGCCAATCCCAAACTTCCGAGCGACGAATCCGCACCTGGATCCGACTCTGGCTCCCCAACGAGCGAAACTGGGCTTGAATCGGAGCCAAAGAAGCAAAAGCTCGAGGAAGCCGGTGGAGGCGGCGACGACGAGGAGGTCGCCGATGGTGATGGTAGCGAAAATGATGAAGAGGAGGACGATGAGGATGTGCAAATTATATACGTCGAAGAGGAAGACGACGGCACCGTCCGCGAAGAGTTCGTTCAGGCGCCGTCGAAGCCCAAAATCTGGTATCCTAAAGACAAGGAAGGACAGAAGATATATGAGCGCTATTTTGAGATCGTCAAGGAAAGCGAGGTAAGTGTTCTTCTTCTTCTTTTCTACCTTCTTGCAGATAGATTCTCCCAGATTTGGCTTACTTTAGCTTGTTTCCTTCTTGCTGAATCGACAATTCAAAATTTGTCTGTGAGTAGGGATTTGATGTTGGCGAACTTCCTCCGGTAGACGTCTTTGAACGAGGGGTTGTGCCAGTGAATTGGGGATCTGAATTTCAGAGCAACAATGTCGAGAACTGTGTGATTCATGTGATTAGGGAATACAATGAAGAAAACAAAGGGGTTTGTATCTGATCCTCTTTCACTTTTTTTCCCCCATCGTCTCCAAGTCTGTCTTGTGTGTTTCATGGCTGGTTTATGTAGGTTTCGGAGCTGCGACCTGATGAGATTGAGAAGGCCAATTTGAGTTCTTGTGGTGGTGAGAACTACTACATCACCTTCGACGCTACTGACCTGCTGTCGTCCGATCCTAATCTTGCGAGGAAAACCTATCAAGCTGAGGTTTATCGGAACATCGAAGGTGGCGTACTATCGACCACACTGTTCCGCGTGAAAGGCGAGAAACAGTTCATTAAAGTGAAGGAGGACCGCCCAATCACCTATATCTGATGCTTTGGGGAGGCTCAAAGGGTTTGAATGGGTTAGTTAGCTAGCTACTGTTGCCACTGAATTTTTCATTTTATGCCACTCTTTGTAAAACTGTGATGCATGATGTCTGTATTGGTATGTCTTGTTTGAGTTTGCCCTGTGTGCTTGCCATGGTTACAACATGCAGCTGGGTTGTTGGTGCCTGTTGCCGTTGAGTTTCTCTGTGGTTACAACATGCAACTGGTTGGTGTCTGTTCCGTTTGAGGTTCAGTAGCTTTGTTAGAAATGCTTATCGAGTATAGAGACAGTAGTCGCCTGATCTTTGCTTCATTTGGTGTGTATTCTGTCGACTTGGTGTCTCTTAGGTAAGATAAGCATCGTTGTGATCAGAAAGATGTACATTTCATGCGCATGGTTGTCTGCCTTCTCTGAAGAGAGTATGTGAAGGTTTCTTGTTTGGCTTTTGGTTATGTTAAGCTGATGTACTTTTATGCTTGTTATTTTCGCAGGTGCAGTGGCTGAGGAGAGTCCTGAGTTGTTCTCAACTAAGGCAATCGTTATGAGTTTGAGACCCGTATTGCATAGTGGTACTGGAACTTAACTATAGAGTAGGTTATCTCTAGATCTCTGGTTAAGTTAACAATGGGTGTGTTTATTTGGGTATTGGATTTCTTCAACGCACCAAGGGCGATAACTATCGTCAAACATAGCAGGAGAGATGGGTTATTGATGAGGGCAATACCGGAACAAAGCAAAGTTATGAGGGACCTAGTTGGAACAAATAATTAGGTAGATAATCCCTGTTTATAATTTTAGTTTTCTTAGCTTTTTGGTAGAGATTAGTAATTGGAGGAAGTCATTACCATTAGTGATGGCAATAGGCGGGGTGGGTGCGTCAATAACCATGTATATATTTGCTCCGTGGATGTTCATTCTTATATGTTACTTGAAAAAAGAACGTCGGTATCTAACTCTTTATTAAAAATAGGTAAACTAAGTTTGATTTGTGTTGGATCAACCTTTACATTTTACAGCCAACGACGTATTTGAACCAACAAATTACCACCAAAACTCTATTAAATGACTGTCGTTTGAATAGTTTGGAACTTTAACGACGGACAAAACTCCCTTTTCTTTATTTACTTGTTCTTATATCCTATGAACATGAGCAATGTTTCAAAAATCATCGCTAAACAGAGTTGATAGTGGCTCCACTTCGAAGTAAGGATTATAACTATTGCTAAAATTCTTTATCGATTTAGCATTCAATTGGTATAATATAGTTTTACAAACATTACTCCGAACATCAAGGGTTCGTAGCTCGATGGCAACCATAACCATGTCACACAAGCAATTTTTTTTTTTTGGCCAACTAATACAAAAGCAAATGCTAGCATGTAATTTTGTTAATGCAATTAAAAAAAAATGGAGTGTGGTGGAGAAGAAAAATTATTCAAGGATTTTAATATTATTCAGGCAGGGCCTCAAAGATCCGATAACAGTCCTGCCTTATAAATCATAACACGTGTGACGGTGTGAGCCAGGGTCGAACACAAATCCCTAATTTTTTACGATTACAGAAGATTTCAAATCCCAGATCCCCAATTTCGCTCTTTCCCTTCCCTCGGACCTTCCTTCCCTAGGGTTCTTACATTCCGGCCATGGATACCCAACAGATCCCTCTACTGTCTTTGGGTGCTAATCTCGAGCTTCCAAGCGATGAATCCGCTCCTGGATCCGACTCTGGCTCCCCAACGAGCGAAACTGGGCTTGAATCGGAGCCGAAGAAGCAAAAGCTCGAGCAAGCCGGTGACGACGAAGACCAGGTCGCCGATGGTGACAGTAGCGAAAATGGTGAAGAGGACGTCGATGAGGATGTACAAATAATATACGTGGAAGAAGAGGAGGAGGATGACGGCACGGTCCGCGAAGAGTTTGTTCAGGCGCCGTCGAAGCCCTTAATCTGGTACCCTAAAGACAAGGAAGGACAGGAGACGTTTAAGCGCTACTATGAGATTGTTAAGGAAAGCGAGGTACGTGCGTAGTTGTGTTAAACTGCACTTCTTCTCTTCTCCCTACTCGCGCTGAGAAATCCTTCGGTTGGTTTAATTGCTCCTTCCGCTGAATTAGTAATTCGAAAAATTTGTCTGTGACTAGGGGTTTGATGTTGGCAAACTTCCGCCGGTGGACATCTTTGAAGGCGGGGTTCTGCCGGTGGATTTGGGTTCCGAATTCATGGGCAACTATGTCACGGACTCTGTGGATTATGTGATTAGGGAATACAATAAAGAACACATGGGGGTTTGTTTCTGATCATCTTTACTTGTGCTTGTTGTTGTTGTTGTTGTTGTTGTTGTTGTTATCTTGGCTAGGGATCGGTATGATGATGGGCCTTGTCTGTCTGTAGGAGTCGGAGCTGCTACTTGATTCGATTGAGAAGGCTAATTGGAGTCCTTGTGCTGGTGAGAACTACTACATCACCTTCGACGCTACTGACCTGCTGTCATCTGATCCTAATCGTGCAAGGAGAACCTATCAAGCTGAGGTTTACCGGAACATCAGTGGCGTTCTGTCAACCACTCTGTTCCGCGAGAAAGGCCAGGAACAGTTTATCAAAGTAATGGACGACCGCCCAATCACCTATATCTGATTCTTTGGGGGCTTTGAATGGGTTAGTTAGGTACTGTTGCCACTGTGTATTTGTCTTTTAATGTGATTATATCTGGGTAGAACTGTGATGCATGATAATGGTATTGGTGAGTCTTGTTTGAGGTTTCCCTGTGCTTGCCATGGTTACAACATGCAACTGGTTGGTGACTGTAATAGAACAAGTTTCTCTAGCTGTGTTAGAAATGATTATCGAGTGTAGAGAAAGTCATCTGACCTTTGCTTCACATGTTTGCATCACTTGCTGTTTATTCAGTCAACTTGGTGTCTTTCTGTCAAAGATCAGCTTCACCCTGACCCGAAAGATGTACATTTCATGCATATGGTTGTCTGTCTATGTGAAGATTTCTTGTTTGGCTTTTGGTTGAGTTAAGCTGATGTACTTAATTTTATGCTTTTCGTTTTCACAGGTGCAGTGGCTGCTGGGGAGTCCTGAGTTCTCAACTAAGGCGGTCATCTAAGGTGGTCATAATGTATTTAAGGCCTGTAGTGCATAGTGGTGCTGGAACTTAGCTGTAGTACGGTTTATCTATCTCTAGATTTCTAGTTAAGTAAACAATGGATGTGTTAATTTGGGTGTGGGATTTATTGTACTAGTTTTGCTTATATCAACTTGAACCATGCCTGCATTCTATGCCAGAAACTGTTCCATCTATGTCTGAAAACTTCGACTTGCTGAGCATGCAATTAGATTAGGTAGACCAATGGTTTCTTCCTCTACGTCCTTTTGATTTTAGAAGGAGTAGTGTCGATTTTGGCCCTAGGTCACACAATTCGTGTGAGAAAGGTCGGCCTTCCTGTTCTAGGGTGCCAAAATGCGAATTGAATTGGGAAGATTTCTTGTATCATTAGTGAATTATTAATTGTCGGCATAATTCGACAAATTATTTCATAGTGATGTTGAACTTACAAAACTTGAAATCTTATAACTATGAATTGAAAAAGGTGTACATATGGTTGGTGAGAGTAAGGATAGTAAGGTATTGATGACAACACTAAATCTCTGTGGGGTTTAGATCAACGGTCGTATGATCGATCTATTAATCACAAATGGTCAACTACGAACCGACTCAATACAATCTAGGTTATTTACAAGGCTGTGAAGTCAATTGGATTGAGACATTAACTACTCATAATTGGATTGTAAGAGATAGATTCATCAAAAATTTTAAGGTGAATTCTGATCTACAAATTGTATAGGTTGCTACTAGAATTTTCTGTATTAGAACCTTTGAAATTTTGGGATTAAAACTTTTTGGAGGAAGAGGACTAAGTGTTGAAGAGTAATGGCTGAGAAATGTTGGTAAAATGATGTGAGAATTAATGTTGTGTCAAATTTCCTTTGAGGAAATTTGACGATTGTGAGAAATGTACTTTCTTTATGTGGTTTTTCATACAATATCATATAAATAAAATTAATAGCAATAAAACTAATTCAGTAGTTTATTGAATAAAATATTAACAGTCATTTTTAAAAAATTAATTGGGTTATGAAAATATTCTATTTCTTTCTAGCCTAAGGTGTACTTGATGAACTGTTTTGTTCATAAGTATGAAGTATTTTGTCCAATATTTGGTATGATATTAAATAACATTCTAATTAGAATAACATAATAGTAACACTCTATCGACACTCTACATATATTATTCTTTGAAAATAGCAATCTCCATTTTCGTTCTTGCGCTCGCTTCACGAATTGGTAACCTAAATTCAGTTATCCTTGTACCGGATAGAACCAGCCTCTTTGGAAGAATCTCATGTTGCGAGCCTCGGAAATCCGACATTCATGGATTCTAGAGTCTCCAAGACAAACAAGGTTGTATTTTGTGCTTCGACCCATCCATGCTTGAATTCAGACCCCAATTCCATCAGCTTCATAGGTACAAGTCCCAGCGACCTCTGTAGGTTGGCAGTGATCATTCTAAACTTGAACAGAGAGACAATTTTGATCGAGCTTAATGGTCTCCTCGTAGGAACAAAATTAGTTAAGTGGAGAGACAGTAGCAACATGGCAAGAAATTTGCACCCACATCCCCTGGTTCGATTTGTGGGGGGAAAACGAGAAGTCTGTACATCTGATCACTACCATTGTTCACGCTAGGGATGGAGCACAAGTAACATTGACTAAGAAACAATATTTCACTCTTGAAAGGTTCACCATCACCAAAAATCCATCAACTGATGCTTCACTTCTCCTCTTTCTCTTCTTTCGCACCCTATATAATAAGAATTAAAGCACAATGATTCTATTAGAAGCTAAACACAATGTGATTGATTGGGATCTCACGGCAAAAGATATAGTACCAACGTTAACGAAACTCCATTTATAGTCACGATGGTGAAGTGTAAAAAAAAGGGAAACATTAAGGGGACTAACTACTCCATATGTAGAGCAAAATACGTACGTACCTCAACGGTACCATAACGCACCAACAATGTTGAACCATCTGGTCGACTCACTGCGCGGGCTATCATCCCATACCCGCCCTTAGACCATACTTCTCCCCATGAATTCCTTACAATCCAATAGCTGGTATTGCTCTTCGGGTCTGTGCCATACCCAACTATTAAGACCGCGTGTCGCGTTACTGCATTTTCAGGATGCTTGCTCTCGCTTGCCTGTTGATTCGCTTCAATGGTCTCACCTTGGTAGATCGCCTGCACCCATTAGAAATTAAAACAAGATTGATCGATCAGACAACAACAGAAGGACAGTAATCAAATGGGACTAGTAGTTAACTAATCCACTCTGAATTAGTGGTAATATATGTACAGCAAGAGACTTGATACATTTTCAGCCAACTGTCGGAACTGAGGTGTGCTTGTAATGACGCCAACCACGGGCTTCTTTGCCACCAATCTCAACACATCTCTTTCTTTGATGTTGTCTTCTACCTCAAGGTGGCTGGTAATGAACTTAGCATGATTGGCAGCCAGCTGCATGCATACACAGATAAGATGACAAAACCCCCCATCAACAATTATAGATATGAGGCGATCAATGTATACAAAAGGTACAACCACATTTGAGAAAAGGGCTGCATCAGACATGATGAAAGGAATCCATTATAGACACCAGAGAAAGCAGGATGTGTTGTAGAAAAGAGAAGACCATGAAAAAGGGAGATTATAACTAGCTATATATGATTGGAAATGCAATCTAAATAGAGAGGAGGTAGGATTAGGAATACATAGAGTAGCTTCCCTCCCTGCTATCTATCATACAAAGAAGATCCACTGATGTTATATATTGCAGGAGCGCAAGGTATTAACATTCAACATATGCACAGTTTGTTCTCCTTTCTAACTTTTTTTTTTCTTTCCTGAAGG